AAGAAATTTTATTTGAGGCTGAAACGGTTCACGTTTTCTCTTAAAATTTATAAAATTTCACTGAGAATGGTAAGGGTAGGAGAAAAATTTTTCATCCTAATAATAGATCTTTAACTATTCAACAACAATTATTGGCAAGTTTATCCCAATACAGAATAGTGTAGATTTTTTTCTTTATTGCCACTTCAGGTGAATATTAAAATTGCATGAATATCTCGATTAAAAGTTTAATTGTGACAAATAATCTAACTTTATTGTTACTCATACAGTTTAAGGGTTTTTTAATGCATAATGTAAGTACTGGTATGGTATTAAATGACTTTGGGCTGCATAAACAGCATGTGCTTTGGTTGAATGCTATTTTTTCATATTTTTATGGATGTAAACATTTATTCATCATTGTTTGAATCATATTCGCTTCGTAATGGGCAAATATTTAAAATTAAAAAATAAAAACTGACCGTTTCCTCTCCTTGCTCTCTCCACCTTCTATTCTCCACATTGAACTCGACCTCACCCTCTTCACTCCTCACAGTCCCACACGAGCGATGATGAGTCATCGTGTCATGTAGACCCTGCGCACGAGATCACCGGCCGCTGCACCGGGTCCTTACGTCAGCAACAAAATAAGTTTTATCAAGAGTTAACGTTTTTTAATGATATTTTGAATTAGTAAAGCACCCGCGACAGCAACGAATTCAGGATAAATCGCGATCTAAAACTCTCCTACTCATGCGAGACTTGAATCGATTCTAAACTACTTAATTAAGAAGTCACGTCGCGCCCGAATCTGTATTTTTTATTCAAGTAAGGAACTGATTTTCACATTTTTTACTATCGATCGACACGGCACGTACACAATCATGATTAATCTTGATTTCATTTTTCATTAAAAACATAAGGTATGTTCGGGGACCGTTGAGATTCGGCGCCCAATACTAACCTTCCTTTACCAAAAATACATAGCCGTTGTAAATCCAGATTGGTATTTGACCGCATCACCCATATAGTCCCATCAGGACTCCCAGGGTCGCCCAATCTTGGTCAGGCGAACAAATTATGAACTATAACCTATAACATTCGACCCCATATTTGTATCTGCGCAACAACAACAAAATGGCGAGCGCGCGCGAGCTACCGCTACTTCCTGAAATTGTTCAGTGAAAGGATTCGAGTGTGGGTATGCCTACGTGATTTTCTAATTACAAATCGCTAAAAAAACAATTCATAAGCAATGTAGTATATAAATTATACGTAATCATATACAACATAAATAGCAGAAGTAAAAGTATTGCCGGGGGGGGGCTAATGAGGGTAAGTGTGCATTGGTGAAAGTGGTTTTTGGTACGTGTGTTTACTCGCGATGCTTGAAGTACTCATTACTCAAGTATCAATTTCAACTTTTTCAGGGACTTGAAACAATGAACGAACCAAAAAATAGTTCGAAAGGAAAATTGAAGATTAAGAGTATCGTAAAACTCGAGTCAAACATGCAGATACTCCTTCCGTGGATGAAAAAGTTGCCAGAGAAAGATAAAAGTTTTGTGCTCGAGTTGCCTCCGAATCTTGAAAATACCAATGACCGTGCGTTAGCTTCTTCGACAGACGACCAGTGGATGTACCAATTTGCTGACAATTGCGAGGAGGAGGTCAACCCTTTGGTCCCCGAGAAAGTGATGGACGACAGTTGTAACATCGTATCATTGGACTTGCATCAAGATAACGAGATTCGTGGTAAGTATGTTTAATTGTTTATTTAATACCATGCCAAGTCAGGTACGTTCGTACATAATGATGAGCGCTTATATTTTTTCCCTGAATGTACGCATGAACCCATACATACATCGTTTGACAAAATAGCTTTGATTATTATCATTATTGCAATCATTAATCATAGGACTGTATGGTTATTAGTTATCTACAAATGTCACAAAAGTTTGTGCAGATAATGTATATTTCATTGGGACCCAGAGCAGGTAGGTTTACAAAAAATTTTCATCGAAGGATGTGAATGCTCTGTCATTTTTGGTTGGTAAAATTTTCTTTGGTAAAAGATGAATAGAAAGATTCAAAAGAAAAACTTCAATGGTGTCATGTTTTCTTCGATTCTTCAACATCATTTGAAAATTATGGTTTTTTCCTTCCATACTTTAGTTAGTTTAGCCAAAATTTTTATGAAAACGAATACGAACTTTCTTCATGATTTTCTTGTTCAACAAAAAAGTTACACTCAAGTTTAACATGATGTTTTTAGACTAAAGCAGAAAATTGGGGGGGGGGGAAGCTTTGGAGAAGCTCAATGACGTAAAAGGGAAATAATACACATTACTGTGTAAGGGTATTGAAGAAATAGATAATACAGTAATAACAAACCCCCCACACACACATGTAGGTACAAGTGTACATACAAAATATACATTTAGCTCGAGCAAAACAAATATTTACAAACGATGGCAAGGGGGGGACTGTACGAGTAAAGAGAAGAGCTAAAATGTGTTTTCCGTTTGATTTGCGAGGCTATTTTTCTTTCTGATTCTACTTATTGACTTTGTGTCGTTCTCTCTCTCTCTCGTCGTTTGTCTGATATGTCAAGATTAACTCAGTCATTCAATAATATTGTAATAATAGTCATTAACATAAATACGTTATAGGTGAAGCGTTATAACAACGACATTAGTTTTTCTACAAGAATATAGTTACAACATGAAAATGTGTTCCTTTTGTCCCTGACTCCCACACAATGATTCCAATTATTAGTATTTTTTTCTCTATAAATTTTACGAGTTAATATTTTTAAGTACAAACCTACTATTTTTATTTTTGTTTTCATTCCAAGATGTTTATGATGGAAATGAATCGTTTTCTCATTTATTTATGATCAATATAAATACAGCATAAAGACAAGACAAACGATTTAACGTTTCGAAAGCTCAAGTTGCAGGGACAAAGGACACATTAAAAATGATTATTATGTATTCGAACGAATGAAGCTATTTCACACCAGCCGTGTAACGCAACTACATATTTAGATAAACACGTCCATGTACGAGAAGAGGAAAGCAGTTTGAATCTAAGTGTGGTATGCATCCCGATTTAAATGTATAAAAAACCGAAAGAAAAAAGTCTTATTTACCAAAGAAATAGTGGACGGTGACTGATTAACTTGAAAAATCATAAAGTCCAAGCGTTTGTCTGTCGATTGTTCAATGACTTTTGAAGACAGGTTGCTTTGAAAATTGCTGGGGGGGAAAAGCGACAGAGAGACTGAGAAATGAAGAGATAGCTCTCGCGCGCGCCATGTAAATATGCGCATTAGTCGAGGGAAGGGTTTCAAAAAGAAAATCTCTCTTCTTCCCAGTCCTCATTCTTATTTACGGCATGTTTCTCTTGCATGTACACATGCACACACTCTGTTGAGCTTAAAAGGCTTTCTCCTTTTCTGTTACGTTGAAAAAAAAAAAAAAAAGAACAAAAACCGAGGAAGAAAATAATGCCGGGGCGCGTTTTTTGTCCTGCACTTCAAAGAGAAAATGATTCAGAAACGGAAACGCGAGACGCTCCCATTGTATACGTTTATTTTTTTATATTCTTCCACGTGTGAAACGCTTGTCCGCCTTTGCAAGCATAAAAACATGCATTCGAGACCTTGGTACTTTTCTTTTTTGTTTTCTCGAGAAATGTTTTTAATGGTACTATTACTCGAATGATATTGCGCTTAGAGGTGCCGTATATTACACAAGTAGGTATCCCGAATTTCGTTAAATGGCGTGTTGTATAATAGATAAATATTGAAGATAAAGTTATCTCACATCAATAAACAAAACCACATTTTCTTTAATTGTTTCGTAAGAAGAGTATTTTTCTAATCAACAAAAACAAACGTGATGGCTTAGCAAACGGGAAAAGCCTCTCACCATCAATGAATCAACAAATTTTTAGTCAATTTCACATCTCAAACAACTTTTCGTAATTTTTAACCAGTATATCAATGAAATTGAATATTGCATAATAATGGAAAAATTAACTTTGGTTAACACATTTTCATTTTAGATGAAACTTGACAGTTCGTTTGATTCATGACCTACGAGCCGCAGCTTGACGCAATTCTTCGATTTTCCTGCACCACTTGTCAGGTAACTTCCCAATTCTCCATGAAGAAAAAAGAAAAAAAAGAATGAAAGAAATTGTTTCTTCACAAGAACGTTAATTGCTTCTCAGGGATGAGACGAACCATTTTCGCCGTGCACGATCGAAATTTCGAGCAGATCATACACCGTCCATAAACAGAGCATCAAACGTGATTGTTATCAGCAGATGAAACCCAGTTGTCCTGAGAACGAGAGTACAACAACGCGCATATACGGGCAAGTGTCAACAGCGACAAACAACGATTGTTCTATCTCTCTCTCCTCTGTACTCGCTCCTCTGACAACTGCACGGTGGTACAGCATAGGTAGTACACTGGCGCCGTAAATATTTGCGCATTTATGTATCAATCTCTCTCCACCACTCGGCGTCGCGCAAAGTACGCAGTTGTCATGGGTTTGTGTACGAATGATGAGACGCTGCACGCTGAGGGAGATGGGGTGGCTGTGTATAGACAGACTGTTAAAAGGACACGCCCGCGGTTATCGCTTTTCCTCGCGCCGACAAAGCATCTTTACGGGTATGTGTCGGCGCGAGCGGGTTTGCGAACGCGCGCTTTGATCGTGTGGGCCCGGCGTTTCCCCGAGCAACGGCCAACTAAACTCGGAGATGAAATCGAGTGCGCGCGAACGTAGACGCCGTGTACATTACACTCGCGTATGGTTGTCGAGGGAAGGAAGGGGCGAATTTTAGTGAATCAAGTTCGCGTTTGCACGAACAGGTCACGGACTTTGGAGATACCGTTCGCTGATACCGATCGATCGAATTGCCTCTAAACGCATATGCATATGTAATATACATCCGATCAAACGAACATCTATACAGTGATTCATGCGACACTTTTAATTCGTTCCCATATATCCGTTGTATGGCATAAGTATAGTGGTGTAGTCTGCCAGAACGTATATGTACATTAGGATTCATCATGATGACATTCCCAGATGAAAGGCCGTGGACCCGACTCGAGTAAAAATGATCCCCCTACCCAGGAAGCCAACGCTGATGCCCATCCTTCCTACACCCGGTCGTTGAAACTATCGCTATAGTGGGAAAAAAAAAAGAAATATCACCGTATTTATGGGAAACCCTGGGCGTGTACGCGTATGCAAGGGATGCTTTATACAAGTAATACGTATGAGCTTTTAGCTCGGGCGGTAGACACGCGAACAAGATGTAGGCAGGTATACAGACGCAGCGAGTAAAGGGGAGGGAAAGTGAGTCGAGTCGCGGCACGGTGGTGGTGGTCGCGCGACGCGTGCTAGTCGCGTGCCGGGGGCGGGGCTCCCTTTTGCAGCGCCTAGGGGAGGAAATCGCGCTTTATATATATATATATATATATATATATATATACCGTACCACCCCCGCCGGCAACGTTATTGATTCCCCGGGGGTGGTTGCCTCTTCTTCTTTGCATCCCTTCCTTCCTTCCTTCCTTTCGCGACTCTCCAACTGTTTGTCTCTTGACTGTCTGAGAATGTGACGTGTGGTCGTGGTGTTATATATTTTCCTCCCTTTTTTTGTTGCATCTTTTTTTTTCATCCACTCGACGAATCTACACTTGCATTGGCTTCGTCTGCCTTTGAATGCAAAGGCTAGTCTTGTAACTTTGAGGCTCGAATGCTTTTTGATCAGAAACGACTTTCTTTTTTTTTTCTTTTTTTTTTCTTTTTTTTTCCTCACTTCTCAACGAATGACTGGATATGAGAGAGAAGAAGGTCGGGTGGGAGGGTTGCAGAGAAAAGTTAAAATTCATCGGAGCTTAGCTTTTAATTGATAATCAAGAAGCAAAGTTGGGTCTCTTGGAAAGTTAACTTGGCAATTGATTCGAGTTGAAGTAAATTTTCTTCCTCCTCCTCCTCCTCCTCTTTAATAGGATCCACTCGGTAATAACGTTAATTTTACTTGAAGGGCTTTCCATCCTATATGTACATATTACATATGCATAGGTACCTACGGACGGAATAAGTAAAGTTTCACAATTAAGCGCCACTAGGCTGTGTATGTACTACGTGTATGTATACCGTTATCAATGCATACACTTTTTATTATTCATCTGCTGCTCCGGTAACTTTTAATTAGTTATTTCGCTTGAATGTACGTTTAGTGAATATGTTTTGTGAGCAGTACAAAAGATAAATTACCATTTACTAAAATTCGATTAAACGAAAATATATCATCGTATGATGTTACATCTACTAGTTTTGTCCCGTTTAAATGAGAAAAATATGTTATACTACAAATATTTCTTAAAGGATTATAGTGACGCATATTAATTGGCTGCAGTCCCGACACATTTCGACGAAGCAGAAAAGGAAAATGAAGAAAATAAAGAACCGAAGTAATGGAAATTGTATTCAAGTTTCTTGATGTTTGACATTTCAATTTCTGTATAATACATTAGTTTGAAAAATAGCTGAAAAAGCGAATGGCAGCAGACGAAAATTGATGTGAGTCCCGGCATTCGATATATTCGCGACGTAACTTGAAATACGGTTTCTTCCAAAAGATTAAACTCAATACATGATATTATGTAATTATAATGGATACGCGCGCACAGTTTTGCAAAATTCACTGGGTACTTTGTGCAGCAAATAACGTCTAGAAAAAAATTTTTTTTTTCTTTTATGAGTTATGCGAATCGATAAACTAGTTTTGAATTTTTCTTCGTGTGGGAAACGAACTTTTTTCTTTTTTCTTTTTTTTTCCTGTAAAAGTACATGAAATATTGGACTTAAAAAATGATGTGCATTCAATACACGCGCAACGTTTCATTCGATTTCCGCGCAACACAGTGATATCGAGTTGTAAAACCGAACGAAACATTTAACATTACACGGCTTTGTCTCTTTTTTTTCAGAGCATTGAAAATAAAATTTTTTTTTTTATTCTGCAAAACAAAAGAAACTATATCGGCATTTTGTATCGAATTTACTGATAAAAAAAATAGAAGGTAAAGGAAAAATAATAATTAAAAGAAAGAAATTGCAAAACGTTGCTCGCCCCAATAAACATGTCCCTCCCTCGTCACCTTAAGAGTTAAAACCCGTCTATTATCATGGCAAGTAGGTATATGCGAGTTACATTTCGCATGTCGAGAAGGGGAGTCTCGCGGAAACCCAACATTTAAAGCGAGAGATAAGCGACGGAGATAAGAAAGAAGAGGGGGAGGCGTAAGCTGCTCAAAAGGGAAGAGGGAGAGCAAAAGATGAAACGGGAAGCAAACGCGACTGCGGGTGGGACGAAATGAAATCGCTATTCGACGAGGGGGGCCGATTTAACGTTGCGTTTACAAAGAGAATGGGATACGAGCCCTCCTTCTCGTGCGAGGTACGCTCTCCTTTTGCCGGAAAACACGCAAAGTATGCGAAATAATATGGGCCCATCCTGTTCCCCCTCCGTTGCTCCACACTCTCTGTGTATATCATCTATCAAAGTATGTACATGCACGGCAAATTCAAAGTCATATTCTCGTATCACGTTGTTGAACAAAGATGTTGTTTAAAAAAACAGCTCACTCGGAGACCCTCTCGTGTAATCGAGTCTGCGTCCGAGCCTGAGCCGATACCGTTTGATCGAAAGAAAATTCAGTTTCCATCCAGTTGACGTGCCTCCTCGCCACCTGCCACTGGTGGTATCCGTCGACGTCGCATTTCCGTGGAGCCCAACGCGTATAGGTAACGTATAATAAACGTCCCCGCCGTGCTCGCATCGAATTTGGCTCTGCTGCAGGGGCCAAGAGCGATAGCAGTCCGGTATCGTTTGGGTCGCCCGGTGCTGCATCGTCACGTGTACGGAGAGGCGGAATCTAGTTATCCGTGGCAGCGCCGCTACGCCGTAAGCGGATTATCCGCGTTTAGCGGCCTATCCCATTGTCGAGGGAAGGAACGGCCGGGACAATATACTTTTGGCCATCTTTACATTCCCCGACTATGTGTGTTCCACAAGGGGTGTCGATGTTTGTAAGAAATTCTTCCGGGCTGTCGGTACAACTGAAGCGTTCCAACTTTTCCAAGTGAACGTTACTTCGGCGGAAAATTTTTTTTTTTTTTTAAAAACCCTCAGCCGAAGAAAATTTTGCGCCCGACCGCGGAGCGAAACGGTCCGACTACCTCCCTTTCCCCCACGCACGCGAACTTTGCAGTTATAAAGTTATATACTTCAATAAATTTCCATTTCGTGGAATATTTCTCTCCTCGCGGTTTTCATTTTCTGCGAGAACGACTTCACAAGGAATGAAAGTTTTTTATCATCATTCTTTATAAAAGTACGACCAGAAAGAGAGAGAGAGAGGAGTGTGTACCATCAGCTAGCTCCGTTCGCCGAGAAGGGAAAACTTTCCTCCCCTCCCCGGCCCCTGTGACTGGCAGCTCGGTAATTTTACAGAATAATATTGCCGATCGTATTTTAACAAGTTCCCCCTCCCCTTTTTTTATTTACATACACGCATGAAACAAACAAGAGGAATTGTTGTGCAGTTGGATTCGATAAATTCCTCCCCCGCCCGGCGTTTCGCGTATAAATTCATCTTTTCAGCAAAAGTTTCTTCTTTCGCGGTGATTTGTGCTCGGGCGCGGCTCTTTTCTTTTATTTCCGCCCTTTTTCCGTTGCATGAAATTCGCGCGAGGCCGCGGCTAAGTGAATTCCATTAATCATCATTTTTTAATCCTGAAATAATAATAATAACGTACTGAGCCAAAGTTTGACAAGCGTATTACTATGTAGGGAATTTTTCTTTTTCTCCTCCTCCCCTCGAGGGAGGTTTTTAATTACGGAGCACCTCTGCAATAAAAAATGGCACGTTCTTATAGCGAAAATGCATTCGTCGCCTCGTCGCTCTAGTGAGTCACCGGAACCGAGCAATTTGCGTTACGTAACACCATTTATTTCTGTAGGCACGCAAATTCTCATGTGTCGCCCTTTGGCATCTTTTCGCCCAAAGAATACCTTATATATACTACTCTACTTCATCGAGTACTGGGGTCTGATCCACGTCTTTCGATGTCTTGCAAATCGTTACGAGTCATATATAGGTATGTAGCTAAACCCACTATTAAATCCACAGGTCAGGTTGTTATGTTATTGAGTAATCGGCCAACTCGCAGCGATTTGCGAGACATCGAAAGACCTGGATCAGACCCCATAAGTGCATTATATAGTAGCTCTGATCGGCTCTTATTTACGAGAACTTCACGTCACCTGCAGCTGTTGCCGACATTATTACTATTGTCATTGCGTGTAGAGCAAGTAACATGCACATACGATGCTTTCGAGCCAACCCAATTACTTTTTACTCTTTCCCAGCTAAACTCGTAGTTTGGGATTCATTAAAGCGTTTCACTCGCGAGAGCAACAATGGAAGAAACAAGTCCGTAGTGCACGCAACATTGCGTATTATATGAGACGCGAAACCATAATATAGGGATGGTATAAAGAATGGGAGGGAAAATATTGCGCGAGCGGGCGCACATCAACTTTGCCTGCGTGCGAACGTGTAGGAGAGACCATCGGTGTACGGTGGGTATCCACGCGAGTTACAATGTTTGTTGGGATATTAAGTGCAGCAAAGTCGAGGAGAGTTACTAAAGAGAAAAGGAAAGTAATAATAATAATAATGATTATAATCTGTTGAGGAAAAACAACGAGGCTGTATTGCGGTTTCGGTACGACAACTCCGATACGCGGTTACGCCAATCAATTTCCAAATTGTCGGTTTCTTCCTCTCTCTCTCTCTCCTTGTGTAAGATCGGCACAAAGGACTTGAGCTAGAGTGACAAGCGTTTTCTTCCCGTCAAATCATTTAAACTCATGTTTATACCTACTCTAGAAAAGTAAAACGGAGTGTTTTTTTTTTTTTTTTTTTTTTTTTTTTTCATCCGTAGCATTGGAGTTTCAATCGTCACTAAACGTGTAGGTCATCTACGAGACACTTTATGTAAATGTTCACATGTATAGTACTAGCCAACGTGAATGGCACCATCCCTTCGATATAAATACTATTAAAACATTAAAAGGCTTCAGCGATAAAAAAAAAAAAAAAAAAAAAAAATACCTACAAAATTGTATGAAAAAAAATACATACATGAATCAAAAAGTGGTTAAAAGAGAGAGAGAGAGAGGACGAAAGAAAGGTAATTTAATTTTTCCGTAAAAAATCACATTACATGTAGACACGCTATGGTTTTTTTTTCTATCTTATTTGCACATGGTTTTTCGTTGCTATCTCTAGAAAAAGGATTCTAAATAATCCAATAATAAATATGAATGGGTAATCCAATTAAATCACTCAGCTTCTGTATACCTACGTATTACCTTGCGCCGAGGCAGAGGTGGTCAGGAAGAAAACTAGGCCAAGTAGTGCTGTTGTTATTTTACACGTGGTTTAGTACTATTAGATATGCCCATTAGGGGAAAAAAAATTACATATTTTACAAGAAAAACATCAACGATACTATACTCTGATGTTCAACATTTGACACTAACAACAGCAAAATATGATTTTTAATCGTGCAAACTTTATGATGTAAGGATTTTTTGACAAATTTAAAACGCTCGAAGCGTTTGCAATCATAGGTAAAAAAGTGAGGGAAAAATTTTCTGTCTGAAATGCTTGTTTTCGAGCTTTTTTTTGTTCAATACCACCGTTGCCGTTGATCTTTGTCAAATAATACGGTACAAAAACTATCGTCTTGAAACTATCGTCAAAAAAAAAAAAAAAAATCACAATTAAATATTCAAATGTAGGCCTTTGAATCCTGTCTTATCATATGAATGTAATTGTTCCTAGTTCAGATTTTTACGTGTTACTCAACAATTTTATTCCTTATTTATTTCAGAACAAAATCTCGATGAACCGCCTTGGCTCGAATCAAGTTTGATGGGTATGGATCCCGGGACCGAATTCTCGCAGACTTTGACTACGAATTCAAAATTACCATCGGAAACATCTAAAGGCACAGGTAATGACTCTTGAATTTATCCAAATTCCATTAATTTTTACGTAAATTTATCCATTGAGAGAATCATCTCTAAATCCCTATTATATCTTAAACCTAGACACTATATTTTTCGGTCTACTAACTCTTGAAAGATTTTTTTTGCGCACTTAATCATCCATCGTGCCTTTCATCACTAGATTCCGGCGATAAACTTTATACCTGGGAAAAACTAGGAAAAATTTTTTGAAATATCTCTCCGCGGAATCAAAAAAACGTGAAATCTACTTTTTACGATGACCAGTAAAAACACACACATACACATGTTAAAACTACACAGCGGCACGCTCGGGTCACTCTTTTTTTTCTTTTCTAACGAAACCCTAATGGAAAATATTAATCATGCAAAAGCAAAAATCCTTCCCCACCGCTGATGACGATAATCTTATCGCCTCTCGGCAAAAGGGGTTGTAAAATTAATGCCCCGGCGTAAAATCAACTAAGGCAGGGGGGGGGGAGTAATTCAACGGCATTAAAAGGTAAGTGATGCGCAATCGCGTTATTACATTAGAAGTATAAATACGTGCACGCACGTGGATGGATATGCACACAAGAAGAGGAGGGTGGGTGGTCGAGGGGTGGGGGAGTAAGAGCGCAACACCGACGCATTAAAATTGAATTCGCCTTGGGATTTCAGTCCTGGCGGTGAACTTGCCGCCTGCGATGATAATCCATATACACAACCGAGAAAAACTGCTGAATGCTGACGTTGTAATTTAAACGTAAATAAAACCCTTGGTGGAGGGGGGATGTGTATTTTTGAAAATCAATTTAGCGCTTCCTGTTTGTGAATATTCATATACTTGATTACATACGCAGCTTTTTGATTTTTAAATATACAAGGACCACAGCAGTTGATTATTGTTGATATTAATATCAAACGGTATAGTGATTGTAAATGCAAAATAAATTTGATCGATGTAAATCAACATCGCCGACTGTCAATACATTTTCGATAGAATTAATTTAACTATAACACACACATACGCAGCTAATTTTTTATATTAGACTCGAGACATGATACGTTACATATGTATACACAATTGTTGCCGACAAAATATTGAATTTCTATTTGAATTGAAATGATAAACAATATACGTACCTACAACATGTTTTCCATATCCAAATGATAAAATGCGTCAGCGCGTCACAAGTATCGAGTGGAAATGAACTTTTGGCACGAAATTCAAGTATTTAACGAGCAAAGAGTAAATTTATCGCCGCGTTCGCCTACGTTTAAACTATAGACCATTTATGGACATACACTGTCAGTGCGAATGAAACATAATGGGACAGTGAAAGATGATCGATGCGCGTTAAATGAGGTGTGCTTAGGCTGCTTTTGACTATTGTAATCGATCGACCCCGCAGTATTATCAACTTGTTCTTACGTTCTTGTTTTCCTTCATTACCCCCGAATAATCGAGCGAATCAACATTTTCCCGCTGGTAATGCCGCGTTTTCTTTTACCCCTTCTTCCACCTCCGTACCGTAATCATCATAATCCCCGTACCCTCGCGTTCCACCGACTTGAGTTTCTGAAGTAAAAAATAACAACCGGTACCTGTACAGGCGGGGCATATAAAACACGGGTATACGTACCACCCGCACTGCGACCAAATGCCCGCAAAACTAATATTTCCCCGGCCCCTCTTTTTGGACTTACCAAAAAATACCTATACTACGAATCCTCTCGTACAAAAGAAAATCCAATAAAAACAGAGAGGGGAAGGGAGAGAGTACACATGGCGTATGGGTAGTACCTACACCCACGAGTCTCGTAAAAAAAAAAGTTTTCAGTATCGAGACACAAAAAGGGGGCTGTTATACCCCTATCCTCCCAAAAAAAAAAGGATGGCAAGAGCAAAAACGACAAAAAAAATTGCCCGGCTGTACAGCGAAAAAGCTTTGTTTTCGAAACTGTCTACCACTACTACACGTGCGCGCTCGTCAATTGGGTTTCCGCGTGATCGGAGCCAACCAAAGAGCAATGTAAGCACCATGTATTCCCCCCCCCCTCTTTACACACAGCATGCACTCTGCATCGCTTTTGTGATTTTCCACTCTTTTCCTGCTTACCTTATGCTTTCATGGCGCATCACGCCAACGGCAGCAGCAGCTCATAAAACTGAAGAAATTAAAACTTTGAGACTCGCCTATCTGAAATGAGCACTTGACGAGCAGCTATGTATACTCGTTTCGACCTTTCCCCCGTAAGGATTAATGCTCGATGCACGATACGAATCATCTTGTACCGATGTGCTGTATACACACGGGGCTCACTGTATGCATGACGTACACGTAGAAAAAAAGCAGTGACTCCGTGGGTTTTTCAAGCACTGCTCAACTTTTAATATCAATGCCCATCTCATTCGTTGTACCCGCACTTGACAGACAAGACTCTATTTATAAAAAAAAAAATAAATAAATAAATGAAAAAAAACAATCTGTTTTTCTTTCCCTCTCATTTCGATGTCAAATATTTCACAGTCATTTATGTACGGTGTAAAAGTACAATCGTGGCCCCTTTCAATCCTGATTTATTTCCCTGTCTTTTCTTGTTTTTCTTCCCCCCATCACTCGATTTCTCAGTGCCAACTTTTTCCCTCACTTCTGTACTTCTTTCGGCTTTGTGTTTTCGTCTTTCCTCCCCCCCTTCCCGGGACTTTGCATGGAAACATTGAATATATTTCGTTCGTTGAATTTCGAAATTGGATCGCGATATTTCAAAGTTGTTGAAGTTCGCAGTTGTACCAAGAGAAATAGAGATACGGAGCCCGGCCGGAAAGTTGCGGACTAACTCGTTTTGTTGCTCCTCCCCTCGCCCCTCCTCCCCCAAGTTTAATTAGCGGAATTGCAAAAGTGGATTGTTGAGTTTGAATGTGGGTCTTTCTTTTTACGCGTTTGCGCCTCGCACCCCCCACCCCACCCCCTCCCTCTCACTTCTTCGTTTCAACGTCATTAACATCTGTTTTTCACACTTCCTACCTAATGAAGAGACCTGAAACATCCTGGATTTGCCAGTAGTTTGGACCTTTTTTTACTTTTTTTTTTTTTTTCCCTCACCCCTGCCATCAGTATCAAGTACTTTTTTTTTTAATTTAGATATACGGATGGTGGAAAAGTTTTGCGTTCATTTTGATAACGGAAACCCGAGTCCATTCATAATGTAATAGTTAGCCCTTAAAAAAAAACAAGGAAATGAGCTTGCAAAAAATTTAATAACGCACGATATGAGCTGGAATATTAATCTTCATATAGAATCAGGAAACACATGGAGCAACTCAACTTCGTTTGGTTCTCATTTGTGACTGTAAAACGCAAATGTTTGCTTTTTTTTTATCTTTTAACAAAGCCAAACATATGCCCAAAAAACTTCACAGGCGACCTGGGGTGAACACGGTAGTCCAACCAGAGGTAACAAAAATGTACCGATGAATTACCTACACTCTACAACCAACACACGTAACGTAACAAATCAAAATAAAAAATGGACATTCGTAGTTGTGTACCTACCCGTGTATATGGTATTGGAAATATCGGTGAAAAAGAGCAAACCGACAGCAAGTTTAAAAGTTGTCAGTTGGAAACACGTTATATCTGCAAAAACAGTGGGCGAAGGCGGCAGGCAAAATAAAGTGACGGGGGACCGACGCGCTCTTCCTCTCTGTGTTTGCGGGGGCCTCATTTTTCACAAGCCGTCTCGCAAACTGTCGCTCGGATCACTTTGTCTCCCTTTTTCTACTATACACATACACGTACAGGTTGGGGGGGGGGGTACACCAGTATTGCCATGCATCAGCCATGACGATGATGTATTGCCGCGCGTCCGCCAACTTCTGTCCACTCCTCTTCTTTTCCTTCCCCCCCCCCCCATCCTTTTTTTACGAGTATTTGCGTACTTTTTTTTTTTTTCTTTTTTACGCGTGTCGTTACTTGCATACCTTTGGCGTGTAATTTTTACACAGTCCCACGGGAGCTAACGACGCAACACACTCGAATGTGATTCGCTCGCCGTTGATTTTAATGCTGCATTGATTGCCTATATACCGCGTGGTGGTGGTGGTGGTGGTGGTGGTGACGCGCGCGATGCTGTCACCGAACAATCAATCAACGCGAATACTATACGCATCCTTTTCGATTGAAACAGAATGCGAAGAGCTCGTGTATGCACGTACGTGTACTCTCTTACGATACCTCGCGCTTGCGCTAATCCATCAAGCGTTTACATGTATACCTTGGGACGTTCGTGTTGTGAGCCGATCGTCAAAAAATAAAGGGTGATTGCATCGTTGTTTACGTGTCGTACTGTTGTTAACAATGTATGATATTGCACCGCGTCTTTTAACCAAACACGATTTTCACTGCTATCCTTCTTGACGTTACAAAACACGTTTTTAGCATTTTCGTATGTTTCTCGCTGATGCCCGGCGTACATGTAAATGTGTATCTCTTCTTGCAGTTTTCCCTCCCATCAACTGGTATTTTTTTTTTTTTTTTTTTTCCTCAAACTTTCCAAGTGCTTTTCTTGGTTCGTTAGTTTTTTCCTTGGCGCGAGTCGTATACCATTGCATCATACGGGTAACCACTCGCATAACGCACGAGAGATTGCATCAGTTTCCTAGTACGATACCGGCATTTTTAATATTACACGGAAAAAATAATGAAACGTCGTGGCTCTGCTTTCCTTTTTTTTTTTTTTTTTTTTTTTTTTTCCTTCCCTTGCAATTTTATATACATTATTCACCCATGTATACCTGTGGACTCGAATCAACTTTTCGTTCCCTCCAGTAACTCGTTTGCTCGTGAGAAAATACGATAATCGAACATCCTCTAATGCAATCAAAGGTATTACAAAACGTTACTTTTAATTAAGTTAACAACTGTATAACCACATATCCGCGACAGCCACGGCGTATGACTGTATTCAAATGAAGGGGAGCACTTCCTCCTCCTTTTTTCCTTTTGCACAAAGTAC